ACTACAATTAACTTAATGCTATTATTTTGTTTTCGTTTTTGATGGATATATAAAACTAGTAAATGTAGATGGATATTTAAACTGTTGGTACAAACCACTTGAATTGTTGCTCCCATTTTTACTATTTGTACCTGTAATTTTAAAAGATGCACCAGATTTTGCAGTTGATGTAGTAGTAGTTATATAAAATAAATAAACTCGTAAATGATCACATATTTCTTTGCAAACAAATATTGAGTATATTGCTAGATCAATAACGGTCCAAGCCTGCAATTATTAATTCCAATTTAACAGAATATTTAACAAAAAAAAATAGAATATTTCAAATTATTACCATGCAAACACACAGCACATAGTATTCTGGTAAAATAGAATCAAAATATTGATTTAAAAATAACATGGCTGGGCCTATTAGCGTGGAATCGACATATTCAATTGGACTTTTAGTCATATGAGCAATCTAATAACAGAAAATAAGACAACATTAAATCGTATAATAAAAACAAAAATGTAATACAGAATAAAGATTACTTACCACAAGTTTATTTGTTATTTTAGCAGTAACTAAACCAAATGCCATTATATAAAGTACAGGATGGGTTTCGTAAATATTTTCGGTACTCTTGCAAGCAATGATATACCCAGGCAGGACCACTAATATAAGAGGAATAGCAGGAGACAAAACACTTGTACCCTAAAATAAATAAATAATGAGGATTTATTTTAGTCATAACTAGTTATTTAACTTACGGCAACTGAAGATCCATTTTTGCCAATTCCACCAGTAAGTATGACAGATAGATTTGATTTGGCTAAAACCATCGATATAGCTAATGTCGTAAGCAATAATATAAACTTCAGCTTGACATTAAAAAGAGGCATCTAAAAATAAAATAAAAATATTCATAATATATTATTTACGGTATAAAAATATTATAATATTATCATGCAATACAAACATAGTTTAAAACCACTAGTGATACAGAGAGTAATATTACTAAACTAGATATGCACATTGCACATATCTCATAAAAAAAATGATAAATAAAATCTATTACAACAAAACAATATCCTGTAAGATAACAATATTATTTCCTTTCTGAGATACTATAATAAATTATTTACAATAGTATCACAGTATTTATTGGCAACAGTGCAAGTATTTATACTGATACAGCTTAATTAATATATTATTAAGGTTAGTTGAACATAAAAATAAGTTTATAGGGTTCAGATTTCTTAATTATAATTAAAAATGACTGTTTTTTAACACCCTAAATAAAATATAGCATAATAATTTTGACCTATCCACGTATATATTTTTAATGATCAATATTCCGTGAGAAATATGTTTAATCAATCATAAATTGTAATAAATAAGTAATCAATTTGCCATTTCTGTTATATAATCAATTAATTTAATGATTAGTTGCCAAAATTAGTATTGTTTGTTAGAAAAAAAATATAAAAAAATATATACATGGTGCCCGTGGGGATTTACACATTGTGATATCTCACGAAATAATGGATATCAATATTCTGGTTTTATAATAAGATTCACAGGGATAAGAACTACAATTATTTCATTTTTTAATTTATTTTAATGGTTTTGTAGAAAATTCAAAATGTTTATTGAATTATTTCCAAAAAAATTATAGATACCATTAATTACCTAATTTTTTAAAGTTTTTCTAGTTTTGAAGAAATAAAATATGATTATAAACTATTAGGAACASGGAAAGTATTCGGAATTAAATAAAAAATATATTTTTTAACTTTTTTACCAAAACATTAAAATATGAAATAACTGTAGTTCCTATCCCTGTGAGTTTTATTAAAAAATCAGAATTTCGATATCACCATTATTTCGGGAGATATCGCAATGGGTAAATCCTCACGGGACACCCTGTATAATTATTTTATAAATAATAATAATTCAGAGCTCGGGACTTAAAGCATTTGCTTATTTTTATGGATTGACTTAAAATGTAGCATAGTGCTATGGAAGTGTATATCATGTTATAATACGTTTAATTATGAATTTTGAAAGTGCTTTTTTTCGCTTGCTTCAGCGATTTTTCAAAAAATGCTTATTTCCAGTTTTTCTGATTATTTTTGCTTATTTTACCAGTATTTCTACGTTTTTACAATGTTTTCAACTATTATAAATATCGTTTACATTTTATTTTTCAGAAAATCCCTAAATCCTTAAAGTCTCGAAAGTGAAGTTTAATTTATTTTATAATATAAAGATAAAGATTTATTTTTATTTTGTTTGATTTTTTAGTTTTTTGATAAATATTTTTGCGAAAATTTAAGTTTTTTAAATACTTATTTGAGTGCTTATAAAGATGTTTTTAAGAGCTTTTTAAGCGCTTATTTTAATGATTTTAAGTACTATAAGTACCGAGCCCTAAATGTTTTAGTAGGTAATGGTTAATTAGAAACACATTTAACACAGTTGGACTATAGCTACATTCAACACATCTGATAAAACTAATTGATCTAGAGGTCTTGTATGACTAAGAGGACGCCAATCAGTGCACCCATGCACAACACAGACAATTTTTGTAAAGCAGAATTAACCTCCTTATGTAGTTAGCCTTAATATAAGAAAAGACCAATCATCAAATTTAAAGTTAAGAACATTATTGATGTTCTTAAGTTGGGATTTACAAAATGTTTACATTTTAAAACAAGATATGGGCATTTTCAAATTCAAACACATTTAAAAATTAAATTACTATAAAAAAAATCCAACATAAGAACTCCGATAATGTTCTTAAGTTAATAGTAGCTAATTTTGCTCAATTTACAAACAATTAAGCTATAACACAAGGTCAAAGCTACTCAACGTAAATTTACTATGTTACTTGTAGGTAATGGCTGGTAGGCCACAGAGAAAATACAAAAAGTAAGCTGATATTCTCATAATATGTATGGCAACCCCTACACTCTCGGAAATTTTGGCGATAATCAATACCAATAAATAATTATACTGTTCTTGAAACATTTATATAATGACCATGTTTATTTCCTGATTTATTTAATTATAGATGTTTGAAAACATTTTTTCTATAAAGTACACGGTCTTGTTTAAATATACGTATTATCTACTATCATAGGATATGGTACTTACTTCATAATCCCAAATACCGGTACCAAAAACAGCGGACATTAAATGAAGAAATATAATAGATAATTGAGTTTCTGTGACATCAAATTTACCAAAACGTAATGTGCCTAAGTCATAGGAAAAAAAACAGCAAAACATTACATAATACTTAATTAGAATACCATTACTTTTTTAAATATTTTTAACATACCAGAAACATAAGTCTGCCAATGAGCAAAATAAAATAAGGCAACAGCAAAAAAACTTTGAAAAAACATCCATGATGGGTATTCTCCAAGTTTTACTGACACACAGGCTGACAATGTTATAAACACTGAAATAAAAATGATTAATTTGGATCTAAAATAATATTAAAACTAATTTTACCAGTAGAAACAGAATCACAACCATGATCAAATAATTCTCCTAAAGGTGAAGAAGAACCAGTTCTTCGAGCTTGCTTCCCATCAATGGCGTCTAAGCTCTGATAAACAAATAAACCAAAACCACACAAAAAGCTTGCCCATCTAGGTATCTGAAAATGTTATTACAAAAGTTTAAAATTAAGATTTGAGTAAATATACAATTGAATCATAAAAATATTTTAATTTAACAACATTACATTACATTCAGATATCGAGCTAATATTAAATCATTCACAGTGACCTTAACTGGCTCTTCATCTACTGAAATATTTTCAGGCGGAAATATTCATGAATGATTTATGTTTTCTATGCTCCCTTGGTTATTAGTATATAACATACAATATATTACTATGTACTTTAGATTCTTAGCAGAACGATGAATGTATTGAATTTATAATGATGAGTGTCGAGATAATCCTTTAATTTTCAACTCCAGTGGCTTTTCCGATGGAAAAGTGAATTTAGTTGGTGCATTGAGAAAGTCAAAATTTAAATTTCCAAGTAGTTTAAAAAAGTGCCGGGGAAAACGGAAAAGAGTTCACTGAATATTTATAATTATAATTTCTTAAATTATTTTGATTTATTTTAAGCTGTTTACGTACATTAAGTTTTCAATTTTTTTTGTTTTTTTTTCTATAAATATCAATTAAGTTTTATTTGTTGGATAAAAAAGCTTGAAAACTTAATCAAGGTTCCACATAACTTTATATAATAACAGTAGGAAAATATTAGAAATACATAGGAAACTATATTTATAACCATTTAAAGTTTGAATTTTGATAAAATACGTAAAAATCACAAAAATTTGTAATTATTT